GACATGGGGACAGGATGCCTCTAAACATGAAGGTGCCTCAGAGACATTGTAACCAATAGTCCCCGAACTCTCACTTCTTCTCTTGAATGAAGCTACACCTTGGAACACACTCAGAAAAGACTGTGCATCCTTAAAGATTAATTCTCTTCCAAGCTCAGGTTTTGAAGGCATGGAGAGAGAGAGAAATTGTCCAATACTTTATTCTCCATGGAATCTAATCATATCTTTCTTACTGAGTTTGTCACTGTATGCAAATGCTGTATCTTCCCTGAGCCATTTAACAGACAAAAACATAAACAGTGGAGTCTTATTTCTCCGCCTGCAGATTCTTCACCAAATTGGTAATTACGGGAACAAAGGAGGCTTTGAGACTTGAAGCTTCTTATCCATCAGGAGAAGATAATGGTTTCCCGCCATCTGCTAGAATATCATCCTCAGTTCATTTCCTCTATTGCACCCTGTCATGGTAATTGCTGCATGTCTCTCTGTATTTATGGCAAATGCATCGAGTGTTAAACAAACACTCAAACATCTATTAAACTTTTTTTAAAGTGCCCATCTATACCAAAGAGATTTACAAATGGGGGAAGGAACTGGGTGAACTCTTGGAGAGAGTTCACACTACAATGATTGAGAGACCAGCTTCAAGTGACTAAAATTTTGCTCATGGATTAAATAAGGAGACTGAGGAAACTTGTTTTCTCCATTTTTTCCCCTTCTTTATATATTTGCAGAACAGCATAGACCAAGGGCCTTCAAACTTAACAGCTTTAAGACTTGTGGACTTCAATTCCCAGAATTCCTGAATTAACATGACTGGAGGAGGAATTCTGGGAATTGAAGTCCACAAGTCTTAAAGCTGTCAAGTTTGAAAACTCCTGGCATAGACAATGAAAACAAATGCAAATAGAAAAAAATTATGAATTAAGAAATTGAAGATAGAGATAAATAGGAGGGATAAGTCAAAAATAGAACAGAGGCAATGAAATGCTGTGGAAAGCCAACTAAACTAAAATATCATAAAAGTAAAATATTTCAATACATCATTAAAGGTAACTTTTTTCTGTCCTTCAGCTTCAGATCTCTCTGTAGTGAGGTACAACAGCAGTGAACTACCTAACAAGAAGTTTAGGAAAGTTAGCATGCAGATATTATGTGTTTTCAATCACATGTTCAGGTACGTGTTAAAATTATCACTATCTGAGGTGGAAAGAAATAAAATGAAAGGTTTGTAAGGTGGGGAGATGTGAATCACCATCCCAAGTAGACTTCTCCACAACATCTAGTGGACTCAAAGACTTGACTGTTATTGTCCTGAGCCTTATGCATATGTGGGAGGGGGGAAATTTTCAATGCTGTCATCTTCCCACAAGGAAGCTCAGTGTGGAAGCCAGCAATAATTTGGAAATCAATTCCCACTGCTCCCCCCGCACCTGTTATCACTCCGTTTCTCTGTTTAGGTAAGGAAATATCTCAGAAACAATGGCCCAAAGGGACATGGGTTGCCTAGTTGAGTATAATACTTCCTTGTTTCACGGTTCTTTTAGAAATGTAGGTTTCCGTCTTCCCCACCCCCACCTCAACTCACGTCCTTTCATTTGCATTACTCTGTTGAACACAACCAACTTTGTTCCATATTGATTCTCCTGACAGTTCAGGTAACAGCTTTGTTACTTGAGCAATGTGATGCTTTTTCTCCCTTGCCCTGTGGAGATTGCACATTCATCATCAATATGAGATGCCAGAGAAAGATAAGGTGTCTTCTGAACCAAATAGCAATTGAAGTTCTCCTGTCTATGCTGACAAATGGCCATGTAGGTCTCCATTCAAGGCCAAGCATGACCATGATATTTTCACATCAGGAGCAGAGTTTCCTGAGAGAAGAAAAGTTCTCACATCCATATATATATAAAGGTAGCTTAGGTATCTACCCATATATCTGATATCAACTAGTTTCATGAAGTCCCAGATTGTTGGGGGCAATATTCTAGCTCTGTAAACCACTTAGAGAGGGCTGTGAAGCAGTACGTAAGTCTAAGTGCTCTTGCTGCTATCCCATGGAGCCATTTATTTCTCCTGAAATTCAGCAGCAAAAGAAACTCCTGGAACATTCTTTTACTAAGAGTATAACTTTACTGAAGATTTCATATGGGTGCAGAAGCAGAAATGACAGTTCTAACAATTCCACATGCAAACAGCATAGGAAAACTGACTTTTTCTCCTCCTGGGCCTCCTATTGTCCAATGTCCAACCAGTCATTTTTACTCGCTTTGTTTTGGGAAAAATCTGTCTGCCTCAGATGATCCCAGCTGATTACCTCAGGTATTGGGTCCATTTCACGCTTCCAGTTGGCCCACTTGCATTCCAAATTTCCCTCCCAGGCCTCCCTTACATTCCAATGTCTTCCCTCCCACACTCCCATTGCTATTGTCTGGTTGCGAGCAGGGCTGCTCAGTGAAGCAACCATGATAGATTGGCTGGTAACATGCTTAGCTTTCTTTTCAGTCAATAGGCCTACCAGAACTATCAATCAATATAGAGAGAATGTCTGTGTGTAACTTTGGAAATGCATTCCCAATCCCCTTTAAACTCACAAATTTTCTTCACCAAATGGTCCATCCAATATCTGTCTGTAATCTATCACTCTTAATTTGTACTGATCACATAAACAAAATTGTGTTAGCCAGCAGCAATTAATGTAGTGTAAAATCTGGCAAAGACTCATGACTCATGGCTTTCCAAATTTATTGCTGACCGGAAACCTCTTACAGGCTTTTTGTGTGAACCAGAAAAACAGTGAATGTATGATTTATGGTTTTGAGGATTCGACAGTATATAGAAAAAGAAGAGAGTTATGTTGTACCCATAGAACAAGAGTGTCTATGGAGATTCTCAGTCATCCAGACCATGGTTGTCCTAAAGGTGCTTTTTCAAGAGGCAACTGGACTTTCTGTTTTTTCTTTGAAGATGTTTTGCTTCTCATCCAAGAAGCTTCTTCAGAGCAAGAGGTAAATTTATAAATTATAAAATTTATAATTTGACTTATAACTGATAGGTTATATGAACTTATAACTGTACCGATGATCACCTAGTTTGGTAATGAAATATCTGCAAGAAACCATCAAGCTCAGAGAGCACCGATGATCCCATAGAACTTACAACTGCTATACAGAAGATCAGAAGCTATGTCTTTGTATCTTTTTTCTTTGCTATTTTCTTTTTCCTTTTTTTTGCACTTTTGACTTTTCATATTTTTTAAATCATTTTTAATAAAATTAGATACAAAAATAATAAAGAGCTTAGTTGCAACCTTTAGAACCCCCTCTCCTAGTTTTTATCTTTTTAAACATTTTTAATAAAATTATATACAAAAATAATAAAGGGCTTAGCTGCAACCTTTAGAACCTACTCCCCAAATGTTGCGCCACTGAATTTTGTCATTACTGGTTGTGATTGTCCAATGACCCTTTCTTATATCCCTCCATCCTTCTTTCTTCTTCTTCCATCTTTTATATTCCTCTGTCTTCATGACAGCTGCCTTGACTATCAGCCCATATTGTGAGCCCTGTAAAACAGATTAAGAAATTAATCTAAATGGGACTAAAACTATTTTTATCAAAACAACTATAGTTATAGAGTTGTTGTTTTTTTAATCTGCATGGTTTTCCCTCCATCCCTTTGTATAAATTGGGGAGAACGTATCTAAGACATTTTCTGAAGTTTGTTTCTTGGACTAGGTTTAAGCTGTATTTTTTCTGATCGTTTATTTGGTTATGGATCTTCCCACTTCCCTTCAAGTCTATCTCCCCTATACCTATCTCCTTCTCTCTTGCCCATTGTTACCGCATTTTTCCAGCCATTATCTTCCAACTCATGCATATTCTGTATTTTCTTGCCATCCCATCAAAAAAATATTTTATGTAGTCTTTCTTTAGCACCATCCCTAAATTTAAGAAAACAGGTTATTGATCGACCAACTCCTGGTATACTTTGCATACTGCCTGATGTTACTTGGTCCTACCATGGATTTGCTGCCATTGTTTTGATGGACTAGCATTTGCTAAAGTTAGGCTTATAGATTTAGAAGGTATTTGAAAATAACTGGACAAATTCAAAGCTCAAACTACCCATAGCTACTAGTTTTAATGGCTGTTTGTACCTCCTGAGTTGCAGGCATTGTGCATTAAATATATAATGGAATGTGTGGGTGACCTTGGAGAATGAAAGAGATGCTGCTTAGGAAACAATTGGAAAAGAGAGGCAGGAGTGCCTAGTGGTTTAACACAGAGGTCCTCACATTTTGGGCTGCACAAAAGCACTGGTCTGCAGTGTGCCAGAAACTGGCCCACTCAAATGAGCAAAGTCCCATCTGCACATGTGTGGGATGTAGGCAGCATGAGAAAACATCCCTGTTGCCTACAAGATTGGAGGCCTCTGGCTTAATGGCCAATAAAACAAACTTAAGAAGGAGCCACCCTAATGGATAAAGCATTTACAAGTAATAGCAGGAATTTTGTACTTTCAGACTTGCAAGATTCTATTACTATAGCCTTACCATAAAGTAGAATTAGTTCATCTAGTCCTGTCTCCTGTTCTTGTTTGTCTGGGAGGGCTGATAAATATCACCTGCTAGGAAGCAGCAATGGGAAAAAAATGGTTATTCTCTATTGATGTGTTATGAGATTCCTAAATGTAACTGGTTGAACAGCATGTGATACAGAAGATAGACCTGGTAAGCGGTTGGCCTCATCCCATCTCAGGACATTTCTATATTGTTGCATAGTGAAAATTGGCAAGAGAATATTGTTTTGTGATTATTTAATTTGTTTTTATTGAATATTGAAATGAAGAATCAGCTTCAGATATTCAGGCAAAGGCAAAGTAAGAACAGCTGGGAAGAATATTAGCAGTTATTCAACATATCACTTGAAAAGAATGTTTGTCGCTGTTCTCTGTACTTCCTCTTCTTGACTTATACTTGTACATCCAATTTATTATAGGCAAAGCATATGCTCCAGAATTCTACTATGACACCTACAATCCATTGTGGCAGAACAGAGCCCGTGTGTATGCCTACAGCCTAGAATGGACCCAGATGAATCCTGATGCTGTGGACCGCATCCTCACCTATCATCTGGGGATCCGGCAGGTGAGAACTTCAGGTGCTTTTCTGAAGGACCGTTTTCTTGCTAACCAATATTGCTCTGCTTCTGTCACTTATTTTTCACGGAGGCTTTCAATCGGAGTGGCAGTTAGACAGAGGTATTTTTGCTGCGGCATAGAAGAGATGGATCACTCATCTGTAAAATCAATTTGTACTTGCTAGGATGCAGATCAGAAGTGGGGGACAAACAGTATTTCCGTTGTTCAGCCAACATGGAGATGCAACAGGCAAGGTACAAATATAATGCCAACTGCCTATAAAGCCTGCCATTTACAAACTTTCAACTGAAGTCTGTAAGAGAAAAAAGCCTTCTCTTTGGGGCCCAGTATATTATGAATGTCTTGATGGTGCAGGGATAAGTTGCATCCCAAGAGATATTAAGATTTACATGGAAGGATGCCCAAATGAAAATTTTGTATTAGAAATCGTTTGGCCTCAACAGACATATTTCATTACTATTTTTGCATTGGATATCTTCCTATTGTTTGGTTAAGAATGAAGGATATTAAGTTACATCTCTTTGTGTGGTTGCTAAATCCATAATTAGCTTCTAGTCAAAGCAGGCAGAAATTACAGGGAACCTAGTATTTTGAAATGTCAGTGTTAAGCATAATATTTATTTACAAGAAAATATTTGGATCCTATGTAAGAACACAGACATTCTTACCTCAGTGCTTTTTTTTTTTTGGGGGGGGGGGAGGACAAATTGTATTAATTTTTAAAGACATACAAAACATAAAACATAAGAACATAAAACCTCTTTTCTGAAGGTTATTTGTAAATTTTAACAAAACAAATAAAACATTTTATATACCATTGACACATCTCCTTATAAACACATACATATCCTTTCAAGTTTCTCATTATTTCTCCCTTTACTTTTATTCAGTTATATTTCTTTTCTATATTTATCTATTTTATATGTTTTTATTCACTATACTTATTTTTTCTTCTGACTTGCTTTATTCTCTTCTATCTTTTATTTTCAATTATCCTCTTCTAACATTCCTCCAAGGTTTTATTAACTCAATCAAACATAAACACACAAGAACACAAAACATAGAAACATAAAAAACATCTTTTCTGAAAGTTGCTTAGTCCCGGGTTACAACTCTTTGTACAGACACAAATTCAAATTCATATTCATTTTGTATGCCATTCCATATCTTATTACCATTTTCAATTTTCTATATAGCTTCTCATCTCTTTTAAATTTTCTAAGTTTTATTTTATTTATCTCATCTCAATTCAAATCATAATATTTATTATTCTTTATCTGTTCTGTTTCCAGCTATCCATTTATCTTTCTTCTTTAAACAAAACTTCTCCTGTACACTAACTGGAGTATGACGCCTTTATCTCTTTCCCCTACATTTATAATACTTAATATAAAATACATAGCTTACATTGGGATTCTGTTTGGTACATTCTAAAATTATACAATATTATCAATGCCAATACAAATCTATTCATTAATATTAATATTCATATATATCTTAAACACTTAACACATTACTTTTCAGTTAAATATCATACTTTTATGGGAACACCTATTTTCCATGGTTATTTCCGCCCCCCCCCCCATCACATATTTTAAATCATTATTTCATTAGAATGTTCCCCCTTCTACTTCAAATATCTCATTTATTTCATTGCCTTCTTTTTCTTCACAAAAAAATTCACTGGGATAACACAATCTAATCATTAATATTAATATTAAACACTTTACCCATTTCAATTAAATATCATGCCTGTATGGGAACACTTATGCTTTCCATAGTTATTCCCCCCCCTCCCACATCACATATTTTAAATCATTGTTTCGTTAAAATGTTCCCCCTTCTCCTACTCCAATTCTCCCATTTATTTCATTGCTTTCTTTTTCTTGACAAAAATTTCACTAAGTTACACTAAATATTTTATCACATTTTAAATTACGTATTATTTCCAATTTTCTAAGATTATTTCTAAGTACAAATATAAAACAATCTTATGTACCTTTCCAGAATCCTTTTTTCAATAAAGTTTACCCATTATCTCTAAAAGACTTTTGTTTCTTTGCACCTTGCTCCCCACCATTGAGGCTTCTCATCCTTTCCTTTCTCCCTTGCTTATTCTTCTCCTTGCCCTCTTTACCCCCTTGTCTCTCCACCTCCCTTTTATTCTTCTGCTTTCCTCCTTTCTGTTGTTTTCTAACATAATATTCACTTTTCACCTTATTCTTCTCTTTTTTGGTTGTTTTTCCAAGTCTTAAAATTCCCTTTTCCTTTTCCTCTTTCTCCTTTCCTCCCCCAGCTAAAGTCACTTGTTCATCAAAAATGGCTTCTTCTTTATCACCGTCATCCTGTTGTGCAGTCCGTTCTTCATAAGTACAAACCGCCATTTCTAAAAATTGAAAAAGAGTGCCAAGAGAATCCTTCCTTTCTTGTTCTTCTTTTTTATATTTTTGATATTCAAGTTTCAATCAAGTGATGCCATTATAGAGAGAAAAAGTTTTTCCAAACAACCACCCAAGTGCTTTTAATCAAAGATAGTTCTCAAAAGTTCCAAAATCACCAAGCAATCCAAATAAGCTGTTTCTTTTAAGTACTTTCTCCTTCTTCACTTTCTCTTTCTGAGGTTAGTGTTTAGTCACAAAGTTCCATTTAAAATATATCTTTTAGAAGTCTTATTAATGTTTAATAACTCTTTAAAATTCTAGGTAATCTTCTTATTTTCAAATTCTGCTCCAATTTTTTTTCCTCTCCCTTCCCACTCACAGCAAAAAAGGTTTTTTTAAAATGTTCAGAAATCCTTATCCCTTCAGCATTTAGTTACCTCCAATGCAGGTTTTCCTATTTCTCTTATAGTTCCATCTGCTGTCACATTAGGAAGGAAAATGAAAAGAAGAAGAAAAAACTTTCCCTTTTAGAATTCCATTCGCCGCTTGTAACTCTCTCTGGAAACAATTTATCCTTGGCAACTTTCAAATTCCAGGGTACTTTTTTTTACTTTATCCCGGTCAAAAACCACTTTCACAACTCTTCCGACTTTCTTCCTCCTGCACAATCTTGTCCAGCTGCAGGTTTCTTTGTGGCGGCCATTACTGACTGCCACTCCTCCGCCTTGGGAAAAGGGGGTTTTGCCAGCTGGGGAGGGGGTCTACAACACCTCCAAACCCCTATCTGGATCCCCCCTGTCTTCAGCTGCCTCTACAGGGCAGCTATATCCCCCAAATCCAAATGGATCGGGGGCACCTTGGCAGTGTGCGCAGCAGGGATCGCGTGGTATCGCGAATCCCTGTCGCTGCTGAAGCCTTGCAAACTGGAAGTTCCTTACCTCAGTGCTTTTCAAATGTGCTTTTTTGTCCAAACAAGACAAAAATTTATTTTTGGGAACAAAAGCTAATAGAAGAATATTGTATGAACTTAGGATTACTGTGAGCAATAAATATTTTACAATGGTCATGCCCCTTATGGTAGCCCAAACTTTTATTTGCTCTTACTCCCAGCTGAAAAGGGACATCATACATTTAAATTATTCCTTAAAATAGAATCCAAATGAGTTTAGTTCAACAACAGAGATATGTGTTGGCTCTTTTTCTTGTTCTAGCTTCCGGTCAATGGGGAAGTTTGCACAGAAACAAAATAAAATCACCCAAAAGCCATCATCCATCCTTTATTTGTCAGACTGCTTGAATGAAAAAGCTGAACCTTGCATAAGGTTGCTTGTGTGATACAACATGTATTTGGCAATGGTACTGCAATCTTTAAAATCTTAGAAGGTACCTTACTAATTGGAAGCTGGAGAAGTACAGGAAAGCAGGCTACTCTAAGAAGACTTGATTAATTTACTCAATGTTCTTCTTAGGTTGGTCTAGTACAGTGCTTCTCCATCTAGTGCTCTCCAATTTGTTAAGACCTCCAATTCAGGAATCCTTACCAACATCTCCAAAGAAAATCTAATAACTGCAGTCCATATACATATCAAAATAACAATTTTAAGAAAAAAATACACTAAAACAGCTTAGAACACAGAGCACAGCACTGAAGTTTCTTTATAGCTTTGCTCCTTTTAGCAAATGACCATTTTCTCTATACATATCCCACTTTTAGCTAGTCCATATTAAGTCCTTTTTATCTCCTACTATATCAGGTTCTTAGGATATGAGGTATATGACTGGCTTTCCTAACTGCAATAGGATATAATGTGGTTTCTTGGGCCTCAGTTTAGCATGGTTTGCCAACACAGTCATTCATTCTAGTCTCTGAATAACAGTTTAGAAACTACCTTATTATGTGAACTCAGCCAACCGTTGCTTATTCATAAACAACAATGAAGTAAATCATAATTTAATGTGATATACAAATCAAATTAATCCCTCTCAGGGTTTTAATGGTTCCAGGATTCCCCCATAAGCCCTGAAACCATTTTGGAAATCTTCAGGGCTGTCACAATATGCTGTAAAGGCCAATTGTGGGGAAATAAGGGTAGAAGGGTCCATATTTTTGAGCTTTCCAGGTGCATCTGATTGTCTACTATGTGACTATGTGTAAAGCTTTCCCTTTTCCAATTGTGTTCAAAGACATCTCCATGGTCATGTGGCAAGCATGACTATATACCAAAGTGCATGGAACACTCTTACCTTCCCACCGAAGTGGTACCTATTTATCTACTCACACCTGCATGCTTTCAAACTTCTAGGTAGGCAGGAGGTGTGACTCAATAGGCTGGACTAAATGGTCCTTTGCCTCATCTATAAGGTTTTGTGTTTCCTTAGTCAGCCTAGAGCTAGATAAACAAAAGGCAAACTGAATGTATAAAATGCAGCTTTGTGATGAGAAGACTGTATGAATTGTTAGGCAGAAACTCAAGAGGAGCTGTTCTGTTGTTACTAACTGGGTCATAAAGTTTGCATTTGGAAGCCTTTGAATCTACTTTATCAGCCAGAACAAGTGTACATGGTAAATGAATCGTTCCATATCTAAGGAGCAACATGAGTACTT